TCGGGTTTAGGGGGGGGGGCAGGGGGGGGGCAGGGGTTGGGTGTCAGTCTCCTTGCTGTTGAATGCTTTGGGCTTAGTTTGAGCCCTCGGGCTTGGGATCGTAAGGCCACCATCACTGCTAAACCCTACATCTCGCATATCACTTCGGCCTCAAAGGGAAGCCCGCCTGCCTTCAGACGGAGGCTTGCTCCGAACCAAGGGCAGAGGAGTGCAAACCCCGGCCGACTAACAACAAAGTGCGTCATGAGGGAGCTTCAAAACGAGTGCTTCGACATCCACGGAGCCCATTGTAAGAGACAGGAAACATGGCAGCACTGCGGCAGTGACGATCACCGGCATCTGAGCAGCTGTGGCTTGCAAGATGGAAACTCCGATAAGTGCCAGGTTTACCTGACCTGCTCACTGCACTGATTTTGGCGTCAGATTTCCTGGTCCGGTACACTCTTCGAGTTCTTGAGCCCTATAAGCCCTCTTGCTTCATCCGGGAAACAACCTCTAAGGGTTGCCAGGTGCGGCAATGCTTCATTGCTTTCCGACTAGGAACCGACAAGAACAGTCGTAGGGCTGTAGGATTTTGGCACGTGCACAGTCAAGCTGGTAAAGCTACCCAGGAGGAAACGGCAACTACGAACGTTGCAGTCCTTCCCATAAGTCGGAACTGCGCAGTCTGCCTTCTTTAGTAAGAGGCTCTAAACCCTACAGTAAACCCTAAACCGTCTCAAGGTTTGCAGTCTCAGCACTCACAACTAGGCACTCACGTCCGACGAGCACACTCACGCCACGCCTGCTCTACAGACTCTACAGCCTAGCCCTCGCTGGAACGACTTTCGGAATTTGCGAAAGAAGCACTCTAAATCCGAACTTGACCCCTCGCTGCCTGAAAGCTCAAACGCCTAGGATTCAGGCACTCCTACTCCTCCAATCCTGAAAACGTTTAGGGTTTCGGAAGCCTACGCCCTAAACCTGTGCCAACCACAAACAGGCGTAGCGTACCCCAACGGCATCTTCTGAGCCCGCAGCTGCAGTTGGGTTTACAACCTTGTGGTAAAAGAGCAACTCGACCGCCGCCGCTGCCTGGGCAACCAACATAGCATTTTCGAATTCCCCTTGATGTAACCCTTGCAGTAGCCCTTTTAGCCTCCCTTGTGAGACCCCTTTGGTCGAGAGTTTGCTTCCCTCGTAATATTCCTAACCCCTATAGACCCAAGTTAGGACAAAGCCTCGACGCCCAAAACAGGCTGTCTGGTCATTAGCAACGTACTTGACAGTTTCTTGAGCTTAGGGGCTCTCCTGTGCGGGATTCTTGCAAGGATCCTTGCCTCAAGAATGCCACTAAACTCTAAGCCCTAAACCCAAACCCTACAGCTGGGCCCCTTATTTTCTGAAGCTCGAAGGAAACACAAGGCGAGGCGGCGTTTCACTTATCAGACCCAGAGCGCCTGTCCTAAAAACCAGGCTTGAATCTGCATATATTGTTATGACATGAGTACACTATGCCATATTCTATGATACCATACTATTACTACATTATGGTATACTACATTCTGATTGTACTACGTATTAGCACTGACCCAAGTCTGACTTCAACTCTGTTTTGCTATGCTTGCTTCGAAGCCGTAAAGCTTGGCTGAGGTCTGAGGGCTTGGGGCTTAGGGCCTCAGCGCTGAATCGGCCTCTGGCCCTTGGATGTGTCGTTTATAGCACAGCCTCTGCGAAAACTACTCGGCATTGCACGCCTTGGCAGGGTCACGCGCTTAAGTCTTTAGGAGGACCGAGCTCCAGCACCTGACTAAAACGCCATGCAAACATCAAAGCGAAAAGCAAATTTTTTGGGATCCCATCAGCAGTCTCCCACCAGACGAATTCCGAGGTCGACTTTCACCTGCGGCTGTCTGACTGACCTCACGCTTCAGTGAGGTAAGGGCACTGAGAGGCAATTCCATGCCAGCGCCGCCAGTGGGATCGTTATGAGTGTGAGCCCAATTAGATTCAGCGGTGCTGGCAGAAGAGGGAGGAGGACGGTCTCGACAAGAATAAACAAGCTGAAAATTAAGATTGCGGGCAGTAGGGTGAGAAGGGATTTGAGCCAATCCAAAGTTTGACAAGCGCACTCTGCCTGTAATATCCAGGCCAGCCTGAACAAGACGCGGAAGAGAATCGGGAAGACTCCTAACCAAAAGCAGAGGCCGTTGAGGAAGAGCAGGCTGCCGACAAGGTGAGATGGCTGACTGACACCACTCTGGAAGAAAAGCCGAAGGTTTGGTGCCGCCCGATCGAGGTTCACCCAAAAGAGGACGGGAGAGGCCTCGGCTAGTCGCCAGTATGATATCACGTGGTTTGATAGCTGATCCACAAGCAAGTCGTACACCTCATTTTGGACATAGTGCTCGAAAGCTTCGACACTACCAAACCATGTCTTGATGCAGTGGAGGATGATGACGCGGTCGCATGTGCCAGGGATGTCACTGCCAGGTACTTTGTGATCCGTAGAGCAGCAGCAACACTCAGCCCTGGTGATGCTGAAATGCCTGATTTGCTTGCACATGGTATGTATGTCACGGCAGTACTCCCGGGCCAGGTGCGCGATGTACCAGAAGATCACAAAACAACAGGCCATGAAGATTAAGTACGCGTGAAAGCTATAGCCGTCGGACAGTGCAAAGAGGACTGTATGTAAGGCGAAGCCTCCGAGCATACACGCAAACCAGGATGCACAAATGGCAAACCCCAGCATGGTCGGCCTTATACTGATGTGGGTCTTCTCACGTGGGGACCTGCTGTGAAGGAAGGCGGCCAGCTCAAAGATGCACCAAAGCCGCCGTGCCCAGGAAGAATCCCAAAGAACCAGCATGTAGTCAGCACTTTTGAGGATTGCACCGAGGCTCAGTAGCCCTTCCGTCTGGAGCACAGTGTCACACTGAGAAATGCAAACCCGATCGAGAAATACGAGCTGCTGTGGCTGCCACACTAGCATGCCCAAGACATAGGTGACACAACCAATGCTCAAGCACCACCAGCTGTGGCCATCTTCAGCAGGGAGAATCCCAAGGCCGAAAGCGATGTAGCAGAAAATGGCTGCCAAAGCGCTTAGTATGGTGGCTGCTGTGCCTTTGTGGAAGAAGAACACAGTGAAGATCTTCCTGCAGACAGAACCATGCCAGCTGTGCGACCAGAATGCACCAAAGCTGCTGGACACGCGGCTCAAATGATAATAATCGCCTTTTGCTCTCAGAGGCCTTGCTAGGCCTCGAAATATTTTCCGGACAGGCACCGCCCGAATGATCTCTGGTCGGGTGACATGCATCCTGGAAAGGAAATCACCGACAAGACGAGCAGCCACCCGTGGATCCGGCGCAGTGTCATCAAACTCCTGAGCAGGAACATCACACGTATGTGGAGCCTCTGACTGTTTCACCAGATGGCCTCCTGCCGGACTTCTGATAGAATCAGAAGCGGGCCTTTCCAGTGGAACTGACTCGTCTATACAAAAGTCGACCTCCAGGGGCTCGGTATGTCCCAGTACGGCGGCCGCTGGCTCGGAAGATGCCATCGGATTGCCGGGTCATTCCTTGAAATCGGCCCCTTGTATGTAAAAAATCCCGAACAATCGTATGGCAATTGCTGAAGAAACATCACATCCAAGAAGTCTCGCTACCAAACACACCAATGATAAGGAATCACCACCATAGGAATAATGGCGGTTTAGTACTACTTGTGAAGACTTAGACGGGTTCTACCCGCGGGATTTTCAAAATCAAATTTACAGTCAAGAGCCGAAAACTGCGTCCAAGTTAATCTAGAAAGACAGACTGTGGATGCTCACATGAGGCTTAGAGCAGATGGGAAGATCCTCAGATAATCCAAACTTTGAGCCCCAAGTTCGACCTCTCGACAGGCCTGAAATTGAAACCAAGATACCCTCAGCTTGGCTGCCAACCGAAAACCCTGCAAAACATAGGCCCGGCACAGCCCAAACCCTGCCTGAAAGATGGCCCAGCCGCGGAAGCCACGCGTAGCCCAGTCCCAGTCCGCCTCATGGCAACCCCGGAAGGGAAAAAGAAAGACCAGCGGGCTTTTGCATGGAGACATGAGGATGTAAACGGGTTTGCACAAAGTCTGCTGGAATCAGGCAGCACCTGGGCCCAATCATTGGTTGCAATAGGGTGCTAAGCAATATTGTAAGTTGTAGCAATGCATACACAACCGAAGGGGTTGTAACAGGGACTGATGTCCCACTGTAAGACCGTAAAGCCCCAAGCACACCCGCCTTGCCGTAAACCGTAAACCCTACGCGGCCTTGAGGCTTTACAGGGGTAGCTTCTCCCGGCTCTTATAAATGAGGTAAAATCGTGCGGTAAGAGAACAAGCCATTTTTTTGCCTCCCGCCTTGTGGGCGAACCTACGATGCAGGGTACATGATTGCCAAGCCAGGTTTCGACTTTCGCTCTCGCACAAGTCATTTTTAGGGTTCAACGTTGCATTTAAAATAGGGTGTAGGGCTGCTGGAATCGCTGACAGACTTCGAGACCTTCGCCTAAGCGGGAGGGCTCAGTGTTGACAAGTACTTTTTCCCCAGCTTAGCTGACCAGGTCGCACCGCAGGGAACTCGTCCGAATCCTAGGCCACAACTACAATTGCAAGTATTAGGCTTGAGGGTTTGGTTAGGGACCATAGAAGTCTTGGGAACCCCTTCAGCACCCAGGGGGACAATCGCTACCGAAGTGTAACCGGCAAAATCTGCAATCCCTGAAGCCTCACCACAAGCCCCCAACCCCTAAACCCTTAACCCCGTAAGCCCTAAACCTTCAACCCCCTAAACCTCCTCAACACTGAACCCTAAATCAGCAAACCATCCGAGGGGACCTCGAGTCTCAGACCAGCACCTGACGAGCGAATCCTTTTGTTTTCAAAAGCTTTCGGACGCGAAGCCCTAAACTCCTGCCTCATAGAATAGGACTTTGGGGTATATTATACTATAACTACCCTAAACCGAGTTTGAGGTGTTTAGGGCTCCTTTCCAGCATCCTTTGCGGCTTCCCTTTCAGATTCTTAGGTTCTTGTATACGTTCTACAAAGATGTGCTCATGCTTTTAGGGGTAGGATTCTGATTCGGAGCATTGCATTCAAGTTCAGCGGTTTTAGGTTTAAGTGCTTCGGCTTCGGCCTATGTCAGGTTGAGGCTCAAACTCAGGTTTCGGGGGTTTCCGGGAGCCGCTTGGGATTTCGGGATTCTGGTGGCGGTTGGCGCTAGAGCTGAACTAACGCTATGCATAGATGGAACATGTGAACTTGATGTTAAAATGTATTCATATATTTTACATCTGTGTGTATATATATATATACACACACACCCAGAATCCGGCTAGTCATAGAACAGTAGCCGGGTCCCGGCCGTGCCCTGAGCGTTCAGGGCTCCCGGAGCCTTCCTAGGCCGAGCCTTGGGTTCAAGAACTTTGAAGGATACCCATCCTGATACCGTATCAGGCTGACCTGCATCTTAAGTTTCTGAATCATTTTTGAAACCGCCAACCCCGAACCAAACCCAACCTCAAGTTCAGGGCTTTGGGACTAGATGGCGCGTGTGACTGCATCTTCCGCCCCTGGCTGGCTTGTAACACAACAGCTGCTTAAGGTGCCCGATGCAAGCTGCGGTTGAAAGATTCGGAGCTCTGCAACAACACAGGCGTGGGGATCAAGGGCGTTCATCGGTGTCTGCTCTTATTTCGGCTTTCCAAGTCTACCTCTACTTCGAGTTCCAACGGACGACCAAAGGCATTCTGTCTGCACATCAAGCCCTGCCACTATGCATCTGCAACCCTCCGGCTCATTTAATCAATCCTGGGCATTAAACCCTTTCGAAACCAGGCTTGACGACTGCCAGCATTGCCTCTTCTGCCGTTCTTCAGCCGAGCCCGAAAACATCAGCACACAATCCCTCCACTCCATAGGAGTTTAATGCCCCCAAACCCCAAATCCTAACCTCGAAGAACCATCAAACAAGCCTGCGATCCGGTTGTACATACATGCAGCTCCTGAGGCCTCCTTGCCGAATAAGTATAAACCAGCCGCTGAAGTGCAAGTGCGTGTATGTATGCATCATGTACGTATGTATGCATGCAGGTATATGTATAGGTGTAGGCATGTAAATGAGTGTGCAAGCATAAAGGCATGCATGTATGTCTGGTCTTATGCACGCATGTATCTGTCCATGCATGAGTGCACATATGAACGTATATACGATATTAGCTATCTATCTATGTATGTACATATATATACATATATATGTATATATACACATAGAAGTACACATAGACGCACACACACACACACACGCACATTTTCACTACGTATACTGCGTAGCATGCCTCGACCCTGCCAAATCATGGCGATAAACCCTCTATGACTCAAGCGTGTTACACTCTGAGTTGCTGAAGGATCGCGAAACGAACCAAGGGTCAATGTACTACTTACACTCCTATCCAGACTGCTGCTGCCTTTTCTGGGAGGCCCCAGGGACGAAGGCTGGAGTGATCCATAACCACCATCTGGACAAATTGGCAGGGTCTGGGGGCTCAAACTCTTCCCGCCACACGTTGGCAACAGGAAGTTTTCTAGAACTCATCGCCGTAAGGTCACACGCTGAGGTATCAAGTAATCGTCGTGGGAGTGGTCGCCGTGGGCGTGGTCGTTTCTTGAAAGCGTGCCATAGCGGCGTGTGCTCGAAAGACGGCTACCTTGATTCTGTGTAGCGTTCCTCCCTTTTGGAATCTCCGAAATGGAAATCCAAACCTGAACCCATGCCCTCTACTCCTGCTCCTTGTCTGCGCTGTCGTACACATGGTCGTAGATTCTCATAGGACACTGTGACACTCTCTCTGGCATGCACGCCGATGCCACTGCCACCACCGAGATGACATGGATAAGGGCATGTCGTAGGAAAATGTTGGAAACACAATGCCCCACGCAATATGATCTTCAAGCCAGCCTGGCCAAAAAAATCTGCTATCAACCCACAAAGGCTGAACGAATAAGTAGGACGGTGACACAACTGGATTACGCTGTTGTCAGCTCGCCCAGTGCTGAACCCCGGCTGTCAGTTCGCATTGCACCAGCAAGTCTATTGAAATACATTTGACAAACCGATGCCTCCATTCATGACATCAAGCGCTCGAGACACCCTATAAGCAGCTGCGCCTGAAAAGTAATTAAGCTTGTCATCGCTGGCTGCACCAAGCCTGGACAGCAAAATAATGTGATGACTGTGATGACTAGTATAGAGTTTGGTGCTCTGAGAGCCGCTACGTTGTCAAGTAAAGAGCAGTCGCAAACGAACGCCCGTCTGCAAGAGCTGGATATCGGCATCGTTCCTGCTGTTGGTAGCACGACTACTCTGGAACTAGAATGAGGTTTGCTGCAGTGCGCGCCTGCCACCAAAAACCATAGTCAATAGATGGCACTATAGTTACAGTCATCTACTCTGCGGTCACCGTTTTCGTACCTCTGTTTGTAGACGCGTTCGGTTCATATTACGATCCTCACCTTTGCTTGACTCGAGGTCGTGTCACGTTGGTGAAAAGAACCGGCCCCCGATCTTCCTCGTCTGCACGCCTTTCTTCCACTCTGGACTATAGCGTGCTGCCGCACGGGACCGAAGGACCGAAGGATTTGCTCCAACAACCGGAGATCTCAGCTTCGCAACCTTATTTGGAAGGTCTCAGGACAAACATTCTCAAGCAAGAAATAGCAAACTACCGCCCGGCAACGAGGCAAGACCCGCCAAACTCTCGAGGAACACATGTCGCATCCGAGCCGACGTCTGAATCTCAGAGGATGCCTAGAGTCCTAGAGTATCCTCAAAACGTGAATCAGCAAACCCGAAGCGCCATCAGCGCGATCCATAAATCCCAAATTCCCATGCAACCCGAAAACTTGCGAGTTACCCTTTGAAGGTTTACAGTTTGTTGCACCTGAACTGGCACAGCAGTGACACAGCCACAAGTCATGAGCCTGAGTCCACTCGGCTGTCGCCGGCCTGTCTGATGAGCTACTGGTACTGCTACTGCTACTCCTAC